AAGGCTGCCATGGAGTGCCACATTTCCAGCGAGCCCTTCCCTGTTGGTGAGCACAAGGTCAAGCCTGGCACCTCTCCTTGTAGGTTTCTCTATTACTTGCGAAAGGATGTTGTCTTCCACACAATCAAGGAACCTCCTGGATCGCTTGTGCTGGGCTGTACTGTCATTCCAACAGATGTCAGGGTGGTTGAAGTCACCCATGAGAACGAGGGCCTGTGAGCGTGAGGCTTTTCCTATCTGCCTATAGAGTGCTTTATCTGCAGGTTCTCCTTGATAGGTGGTCTGTAACAGATCCCCACAGTAATGTCTTCCATCGCTGTTTTCCCTTTAACCCTGACCCACAAACTCTCTGTTAAGTGCTCACCTGTCCCCCAGACACAGTTCCATACTCTTCAGCCTATCCCTAACATAAAGGGCAACTCCCCCTCCACGCCTGCCAGGCCTGTCTTTTCTAAAGAGCCCGTAACCTTCCATTCCAACACTCCAGTCATAGGAGCCATCCCACCACGTTTCTTTGATGCCTGTTATATCATACCCACATAGATGTGCACACATCTCTAATTCCTCTTGTTTGTTCCTCTGCTATGGGCATTTGTATAGAGGCATCTGAGCCGAGCTCCAAATGAAGCTGTCTCATTGGCTGGAGCGGCTGGAATATCTCTACGAGCAGCTGGAATATCTCTACAGCGGCTGGAATATCTCTATTAAGACTAATCACTATATTTCTCAGTCTGAAATCATTATTGTCTTCTTAAGGGACTGATACAATACCACTAAAATTAGAATTAACAAATTACTTTGATTTTACTCTTGCCAAACAAAATTTCTCCTAATGAAATCCTTAGAATTTATGGTCAGCTAAAAGAAGAGAATATTAAGAATTTGGCTTGATAAAAGGTGAGTCAGGCCTTTAGGATTTCAGTTACTTAGTTAATAAAACTTCCTCTAAGAAAAGTTTTCAGTTTGCTGATATTTCCTGATCAAAACATGTTTTGTAGGATTTGGGGTGCAGGATTTTTTGCTAATGTGATGACATATTTCGGTTAATCATTGCAAATCATGCAAAGATAAATATTTGAATTGTATATATTCATTGGTGTACATTCTAGGGTAGTTCTAACTATTTAGTGGCAGCACTGGAATTTGCAAATAGGTTGCACATGACTGGAAAAACTGAGGACATGCTGACTGTTGAGGAGGAGTCAGCATACTTCACTGTTTGCAATAACATGTGTATTTTATCCAATTAATTTAGTAGTGATTGTTACAGAGTTTATATTGCAAGGAGAGAGAGCTGATTCTTCTTCTTATCCTGAAATTAACTGTCATTCATCTCACACCTGTCCAAGAATGACATAATGCTAACTGGTAGCTTGCTGCTATGTGTTTGAACTCCGTGGTGGATTTCTCCCTTGTTGCGACTTGCACTATTCCGCCTTCGTACCTGGAATATTCATCAGATATTGTGTCAAAATCAAAGGAGGAATACTTTGAGCTCTACATTACGCACAAGTTCATAGCCCAAGTCTCGACAACATTAGCTGAGTAAAGCTTAGTCTGTCTTGCCTAATGACTATTTTAGCAATCAGAGTGGGAAAGACTACTTTGGTTCTGAGCACTGGTCAAAGGGATAAGTGGAACACTGTTTCACATGGAAGTAGGAATAGAGTTACATAGTTACATGCAGTCCTCAGACAAAAAGCAAGGTTTTCCCTGACTGAACCAACTTTAAGGGACCTGTATGTTGTAGCTGAGCTGCAGATGAAAGCTAGGACGAAGAATGAAGTAAAGAATATTCAGGTGCCCTAGTTTGGGAAAATACCCCAGTACTGTAACACCAATTGATATAACAGCCCCAATTCCAGCATCCTTTGTTTGTGAACTTCTGTTTTGTTTGTCACATCCAACTGCCCAACAAATGAGGTGGATGCTGGCGGAACTCACAGTTTTGAGAGACTGTTTATACTGTCAGTGGCTGATAGCACCATAAAGTAAGTGGCTGCATAAGGTTTGTTGTTCAGACAATATTTACATGAATTAACAACGAATGTCTTCAGGAATTTTGTAAAGTTTGGAGGAAAGAAAGGCTTCTAACTGTGTGTGTATATGGAACTGGAATGTATATATCTCACTGGCATATTGTTTTGTTCCTGAAATGGACATGGTTCCAAAAGGATCTTATTTCCCAATTTCAGATTTCTTTTCTTGGCTATTTTGAGGATAGTTATTGAACTTATTCCATGATAACAGTTAAAACAAATCTAACTCCTTTAACTGATTTATTAGGTTTCACTATTTGATGACCATGTTGGTGTACATGGAGGCATGCATGAAGCTGGTCAGGAACAGCAGCCTTGTAACAAACCCATTACCTACTGCACAGCCAAAATGTAACCCCACTGTTACAAAGTAATGTAATTATAGCGTATCCAGTATGTGTGCATCACCAGTCCTTCAGAAAACACCACGACTGACTCCACTGTAGATAGACAAATTTATTCCATCCTAGTCACAGATGTCCTGAAGGAGATACTAAAGATTTCTTTGATTATTATTAAAGAAAGTCAAGAAAAATAAACTACATGCTTTCTGATCACGATAAACAGATTTCCAGAAATAATAAAAGAATTGGGCTATGATACAGAATGAGTAGGAAGAAATGCAAGTGAAATTTACCAAATACCTACATAAATTAGAATTAATGCACTGAACAGATTCAGTTTAACAAGAGTGGGCTGATTTGAGAAACTGATTATGATTTGAATATTAATTTTTTGAGGACAGAGAAATAATCTGGAAGTATTCAGAGAATTAGTTTTTTGCACATCATAGAATTTTAACTCATGAGTAAATTATTGCAGGAAGGGGTTTCCATACATTGCCTGCACTTATGTGTCTAGGTGCATGGCATTATTACTTTTTTTTTTTTTTTTAACTGAAGGATAAGCTATTTAAAACACATTTGCATTTACTGTGGGGTTAAGGGAAAGCTGCTTTGAGCTTCCTGTATCAAGTTCTATGCTATTTCACATTTTTAGACCAAAGGACTTTCTTCAAAGAGGCTAATAGTCAACAGTAAGATCTTCATTAACTTATCAGGATAATACCTGTTTTTAAGTGATTCACTTAAGTAAGGCATACTGAAAGCACTCCACAATCAATTTCAAGAACAGTCTGTCAACCCTCAATGATAAGAATGGGAAATTGTAAGAAAAGAAGCCTGAAAGTCTTTACTCATAATACAGGAAGTCTTTCAATATTAAACAATGAAATGGCTACACTTCAGTCATCTTAATGGTATCACATCCTGATGTCTTCCATTAGAACCATTACAAAATTTAGGAGATGACAGCTTGAAAATCTTACCGGGAGAAGTACAGTAGAGACAGATGAAACACTGAAAGACTTCAGGACACAGTCATGAGGAAAATAAAAGCTATTTTGTGAGGGCTGTAAAACATTGTTGTTGTGTTTTCCAGGAAGCAAGTGCAAATTATTTGAGAATGAATACAAAGCATGATTCATTTTGAGCTTAGTGAACAACAGTATGGTTGTGGAAGAGACAAGAGCTAAAGTACCTTTGTGCAATACACAGCCCAGGGCAGGACAAAGGTAGTCACAGTTTGCAAGGAAGGGGATGACAGTGCAAAACAGGCACTCACAACTGAATGAACACGAGTCTAGATTTCCATAAGAAATCCTGGATTCCATAAGATCAGCAACAAAGCCTCCCTGGATTCTCAGGACTTTCTGTCTTGTTCATTTGTTTGCTTTACTGGGCATCATTTGTGTACTGGGCAATACTCATGCAGCTGTTTCTAAATGCTCTCTCCTAATCTTTCTGCCTCTTTATCAAAGGAGCAGAAGCCCAGATACTTGTGTTTTCCAATGCTAAAGTGCTTTTTTTTTTATGAGAAAGTGTTTGAATAGTACAGTGACCTGATAAGCCACTTCTACAGATTTTCCTGATGGCTGTTAGCATTGACCTATCTTAGGGAAGCTGCCAAACTCCAGTTGGATTGCTTGAAATGACAATAAATCCAGATGTCTATTTAATGTAACTCTGATATTATAAATGCTATTTATATTCATTCTGAAGAAAAATTCAAGCAGATACGTTTCAGCTGCAATAATTTTCTATATTTGTGTATATACAGAACAAATGTATTTCATAGTTTGTTTCTGATTTTTCTGCTCAATTACGCTTTATAAATATTATTATACTTTTAAATACATTGGAAAGGAAATCACGTGTCAGTAGCGAGAAATTACACCACTGAGGCAACAGTTCAGAAAAAAATGAGTTAAAACCATCTGTACATACATAAGTTTATAGATAATTTTCTAAAATTTTAAAACTGATGATAAGATCACCCTGCGGTAGACTGCTGTTAACCCTTCAGTGACCAATCTAGCTGTTGAAATGTGTATCCAGTAAGTAGATGGACAGTGGCTGACCACACTGAACTTGGAGTTCAACTCTGGAGTAGACGAAAAAGCTGGAGTAGTTTCAATAGCAAACCTTTCCTATCAACGCCCTGAAACCTGAATCTCAACACGTGCCTGTGCCATCAGTTGCCCCCGACCCCGGCTGCTGAAAAGGCCTATCCTTTTGTCGCAGGTGTTTGCTGGTTGTTTTTCCTTTAGGGAATCCCTTTCAAAAACAAAAACAAAATGCTGCTTAGTTATCAGATAACGCCAGAGCCGGAGAATCTCTTCTCACCCTGAGCCCTCGTCTTTGGCTGGGAATCCTCTCGGAAGTGGACTAAACCTCCCCCACGCACCTGCACGCCCCTCCCTGCCCCCCCCCCCCTCCCCCCTTCGTCTGGCACTGAGCAGCAGCCCATGGCACTACGGCCACAGGATGGGGCCAGGCGCCCCCCGCCCTTTCTTTTTTTCTCTTCTCTCCTTTCCTAGGCTCCACTTGCCGTAGCATACATCCTCCCGTGGGGTTTGGCCGGATCATTTATTTATCTTGTGCGCATTAAGAAACCACCATTAGGCTTTGGTGGGAGGTGCCTTACTTTCTACGCGCTAGCCTGCCTCCCCTGCGCTGCGATAGGAATACACAATTGAACAGAAGCTGCAAGCTTGGCAGGAGCTGCCTTCTTCGTGTCTCTTTATTTGCCGGATCCGTTATTTTTTTGCCGACTGGGTCATTGTCGCCCCCTCTCTAGGGTTTCGTCGTCTTTTTTATTATTATTATTATCGTGTATGTGGATTTTTATTATCTTTTTCTGTATTTTTTTTTCCGGGAGCCCTCGCCGGAGTTTCGACGCCGGGCCGGACTTAGTACTGGCGCGGAGGAGCTGTGCGGAGCTGTACCTCCTGCCCCGGACCCCGCCCGCGGATCGGCCTCCCTGGCCCGGCGCCGGCCGCGGGTCCGCGGAGTAGCGAGTGCGCTACGCCGTGCCGCCGCCTCCCCGCGGAGCAGCAGAGGGATGCTGCTGCGCCGCGGCCGGGCATAGGTAGGAGCCGAGCGGGCGGGGGAGGGAGCGGAGGGAAGCAAGGAAAGACGGAAAGAAAAGATCCCCCAGCCTCAAGGGGAGAGAAAGAAGACAGACGAGAAGGAGCGTGAATGTGAAGGAATGTGCCTGCCCGCTGCCGGAGACGCACGGTTGGGATAAAAAAAAAAAAAAAAAAAAAATCCAGGAGGCTGATTCTTGCCACTTATCATCTGGAAAAAAAAAACAAAACAACCCACAACCAAACAAGCAACGGAAAAAAGAAAAGAGAGGAAAGAAAACCCCTGCGATCGAAGAGGCTGAAGCGAGCAGCGCAAGAGGAGGGCACCTGGCGAATGGCTCGGCCGTACCGGTGACTCCGCGGCCGCGGGAGGCTGCGCGGAGCATGCCGTGCTGGCGGCGTGACTGAGCGGGGCGCTCCCGCCGCCCGCGCCGCCCTCCCCTCCGCCCCCCTCCGCCGCATGCCGCCGGCAGCCGCGGCGCGCTGATGCCCCGGGGCCGCGGCGGCGCTGCGGACGGCCCCTAGAATGAGCGAGGGGGCTGCCGGCGCCGCGGCGCCCGGAGCGGCAGAGGCGGCGGCGGCGGGGGGCCCGGGCGGGGATGGGGCCGGGGGTCCGCCGCGGGAGCTGCGCTGCAGCGACTGCATCGTCTGGAACCGGCAGCAGACGTGGCTGTGCGTGGTGCCTCTCTTCATCGGCTTCATCGGCCTGGGGCTCAGCCTCATGCTGCTCAAGTGGATCGTGGTGGGCTCCGTCAAGGAGTACGTCCCCACCGAGCTGATGGACGCCAAGGGCGTGGGGCAGGACCCCTTCTTCCTCTCCAAGCCCACCACCCCGCCCCGCGGCGCGGAGACCACCGCCGCCGCCACGCCGCGGCCACCCAGCCGCGTCAGCCCCCGCCTCACCACCATGAGTCGAGCTCCCCCGCGACCTCCCGGCACCCGCGGACCAGCGCGGGGCGGCCCGCGGCCCACCGCGGCTCGGCATCCCGCCGCGCCCCACACGGCGCCACCCGTCAGCGGCTCCCCCGGCACAGTCGGCCGCGGCGCCCGGCCGCCGCCCGCCGCCCCCAGCACCCCGCCGCTGCCCGCATGGCCCACTGCGGCACACGCTACCTCCTCCTACAAGATATATGTCCACGACTCGGCGCCGTCCTGGACCTTGTCTCCCTTTCAGGAGTCAACCACCACCACACCGGAGGCCAGCACGACCCCAAAAATCCGTAAGTACAGCCCGCCGCCCCGCGCCCTCGGGGCGCCCGCCCCACCCGCTTGCGAGTCCCTGTCAAAACCCGGTGTTTGCTCAGCGTCGGCGGGGTCGGGGCGATGCCTCGGGCGGAGGTTGCTGCCAGCGCGTCTCCGGGAGACGCGGGGCTCCCGTGCGGCTCCCTCCCTGCGGGAGGCCGGATTGCTCCGAAGTTGGCGGTTCTTTACTCCCTCCCCCGCTTGCGCCCCCTTCCCCACCGGCAAGTTCCTCGCTGGTGTGATGCGATGGATGGTGAGGCAGGAGCAGCCATTTGAGAGGGGACTAGATTTCACTGTGTTTTTTAGGAAAGGTGCAGACCCCACGCTCGTCTTAAAGGCTGGTCTGCGAAGGGTATTTGAGAGATGCTGGTAGCTGTCTCAGCTAGAGGGACAATTGACGACCCACCGGGAACCGGCGGCTCCGGAAGGGGCGGTGGGGAGAGCGGTCCGAGGGAGGTGCTGTGCCCGTGCCTCTGTGCCCATGAGGGAGTTTGACTTTTCCACACAGTCGTGTCCCTCGCAAGAGATTTGAGAGAGGGCTCTGAAAGGATGCTCCCTCTGTCCCAGCACTCGGCTCCTGAAAAGAGCCGCTGCCAGGTCTACGGGGAAGGAGCCCAGGGCACCCCACGAATATGCAGACGCATTCAAACGCTCTTGCGGCTCCTGTGTGTAGGCACTGCACCGTCTTGCCGTAATTGACTGGTTTTTTTTTTTGAGCAGGGGATGGGGCTAGTTCGTCGATTGATGCTCGGTGGCCGGCTTTTCCCACCCTCCGAGTCACAAACCTAAGAATTCGGGCTGAATCTGAAATTCATTTGGTTTGGGTGCATCAACTTCCAGCATCTCGTAAAGGTTATCTAGGACAAACGCAATCCGTGCCAAAAGAGCTTATGTGTGATGGTGTTTAGTGAAATGCTCAATTATATCGTATTATACTCATCTTCTGCGTTTTCTTGGATGCGGTAGAGGAAACGAGGAGCCATGTATCCTCCATTAACTCTTGGTTGCTTCTGGTACGAACGTCAATTCAATTGAATGCTATCACCTGAATTGGTTTTACAGCCCAGGGCTCCCCTTTTGCGTGCTAATGTATGGCTATTCAGCTCAAGGATTTTGTTAGCGCGTCATTTGAACTTTATTTTGTCCGTTAAATCTATTTGCTGATGAGCCCTGAGGCTGGAAATATATGCAGGGCGAGCTGATCTTGTGAATTGACAAAATCGGGAGAACAGCAAATTGGACGTGTGGGTGGATGTGCAGGTGGTGGATGGCTGGGAATAATTACGAATAAAACTATCACTAAATCAGAAGAGCAAACAAGGCAGTAACTCACTTCCCCAGTGTCTGCTACAGTAATTGAGAGAGAACCTTCCCCTACAGGTGTTTCTGAGCCTGTTTGCTCTGTGGGTACAACCCTAGGAAATCAGATGTTACCAGAAGGAAAATCTTATGTGGAGTTGGACACTTGGGTGTAGGGAGCTGTATAGGGCACTTAAAAAAAAAACAAACCAACAAGCAAAGGGAGTCTGATTCTCAACCAGTGTCTGTTTTCAAGTCTTGTGTGAACCAGACATGTGGTGTTTTCAGACTGCTGTGACCTGTGTGAGTTTCAAATGCTGCCCGGCCTTGTGAGGTAGGATCTCTTGGGGTATAAATGCTTTATTCCAAACCGTCCTTTTCTCCCCATGTCATGGTTGTCTTTTGGGGGGTGTGTGAGAAATCTACAGCAATTTCCACCTCTTTATGCTGTCTCCTTGCAAGGCACAGAAGGCAAGAATATCCTGATAAATAAATAATGTTCATCTGGCAGGACTCTCCTCCATGCAAGACATACAAAGTAAGAAGAAAACCCATAATCTTGAAATGTTCCTGGCAGTTGCAGAGTCTTGTAACTATTATTTGTTTTAGGGAGACTGCTAATACGTTTTACAGCAGGGTGTTTCCCCTCATTAAATACAGCTCAGTTATAGGATGAAATGCAAGAAGTGCAAATCCAGCAGAAATTGACCCTGTTTGGGCACATTGATAGCAGAGATTATCATTAATGGAAGATTAAACAGATTACATAAAAAAGGATTTGAATTTGTAGGGCATGTGGAATATTTTTTTAAAGCCTGCAGCTGTACTTTTCTGATACATATAAGCATCTCTGAGGATATATGCAAAATTCTCTGAGGCTGCAGTATCCACTGGAGGGGAGAGGGAGAAAAAATGCAATCTTTCTGCCGTAAGATGCTGACATGGTGTGACCCCAAAAGAAGTATCTGCATCAGCCACTAGCAGCTCTTAGGAAGAAGGATTTTTTTAAAACCAAATTCATCCTTGTTTCCCAGGTTGGGCTGCATGTTCCTTCTGTGCCCACTGCTCCAGCTGCTGTTGAAATGAAAGTCATGGATTCCATTGTAACATGTGAATACAAATCTGACATGACAAATCTTACACCCAGCTTTCAAAATAGTGCATAACCTTGTGTGATCCCCTGGCTTGGCAAGGCACATACGTGGGCAGGAGTCATAGGTTATTTAGCATTTCACAGCTTTTGAGAAAAGAAGCAGGTGTCTTTATGTATATTGGTTCATGTTGTAGTTTGTTTAATTGTTTTAACACGTTAGAATGGGCTCAAAATATGACTTAGGAAAATGGAAGGCAAATCAGGAGCTATTTTTCTATAAAGCCGGATGATTGCCCACCTGAAGCAAATGTTGATAAAGCCTTTTCCCTGTGTGTGCATTCATCTGAGGAGATGTTGTGAAATCTCTCTTTTTTGTGGGTGTACATAATGACAATAATTCTTGGTTGTGTTTCACTCAAAGTCAAGCTATCTGTTAGCTGTTTTGAAAGTTCTTGATGAAGATCCTTAAGGTTCTGACTAAGCAAAAGCCAATTACTCATCAGATCTCTCTGTCTTTTGTGCCTGCCTATGTTTGTCGTGATCATGCGTGGACTATGGTTTTTCAGCATGAGCCTCTTTATCCAGTGTTCAACGTAAAATTCAGTCATTGATTTAAAAAGACAGTCCAGCCTGTAGATGAGAAAAATCAACTAACTGACTGGAACACACCAGTGAGGTTTTATTTTTATCAAGCCATTGGCTTCATTTCTGAAGAGTCATGCCCTGATTTTTCCAATATGCATTTTTCATGGTGTTCTGGGTTCTTCAGTAATATTACCTTTAAATTGAGATACTGTACTTATAAGAATTCCTGTGTGAATTCAGCTATGAAATAGCCCTGTGGTTGCTCTTGTGTTCATATGACCAAAGGCTAATGCAGAGAACTGAGGTCAGGCAGGTGGGGCTTGACTAATGCATGGTAACCAAGGAAAGAGACGTTGCAGAACTCTTTATCAGTGTATCTTGTGAAGTCCAGTTGTGACCTTTTTTATGACTCCAGATTGCAGCCGGAGTATTCTTTGGTTTCCTGCTAAAGGTTTTCTGGTCCAGTTGTTTATCCTAGTCATGCCTCTGTCTGTTTGATATGCATGGCATAGGTTTAAGTAACAAGCTTCTGGCAGATGAACTGTTACCAACACTGACATTTTGGTCAAAGCTGTTTGTTTTATTTTGCACTGACTCAAATATCTTTTTCACATTAAGGATGACACTTAGATGGAACTGCGGGGTTTTCACCAACTGGAGGGTGTTGTGGGAGGTGCCAAACCGTAGTAAAACCAGACCTACTCTTCCTAGAGCTCTAAAACATTCTGCCAGCAAATGACATGTATCTGTGAACACTTCACATTATGATCATGAGCTGTCATTGAAATCAAGGGGAGCATGTATGACTGTAAAGCCCATGCCTTTAGCATCGACTAAGATTAATATGTCAGTTATTTATCAATCTGTAATAGAACAAAAGCTGTTGAATTAGGAGAAAAACATACTGAAGCGAACAACTGAGAGTTTGAAAAGCATTTGCCTTTTCCTCATTCCCACTTACTTTCTATTCACATATCATGAGTCAATGTACCACAGACATGATTAGGTTTGTGTTTCCCATCTTAAATACTTGAAGGCTACTGTCAAGATAAAAGAAATACAGACTTGTAGTCACACCACTGAAGTGGAAGTTACTGTAATTTTATCTTTTTTTTTCATATATTACAGCTCTATTTTGCTTCATATTTTTCAAATAAGTTGGATGACACTGGACTTAATACCATTTCCCATATATAATCCTCCTTCTAGTTAAGGACTAGCACAGTTATCACCGAGTTCATAAGGAAGTGGAATGTTTAAGTGAGGCCCACTCACAGATACATACATTGATTCTATTCGGTTATATTTCCTTTCTGTTCTGCTTACTTAAGTGTTTTTTTTGAGTCCATGACCTAGGAGAGCTTTCACAGCACTGGTATGACGAGAGGAAGGAATGTTGCTGAAATTACTCCATGCTGCCTTTTAACCCAGAAGAAAACTCTTTTGGAGGCTATAAGGATTCTCATTACATCAGTTTAACCTGTGATCACCAGTAAAAGCCAAGTCTTGCATTTTATTTATCATATTTTTTTTAGCATCTATACAACAATGTTATGTGATATATTATATGTTGACAACAGAATACCGTTATTAAATTAAAGTATTGATTCATTGCAGAGTATTGTACTAAAGTGATGTCAGTGGTTTGTCTAAACCCACAGAAAATGGAAATTAAAAATTAAAGCAAAAGACCTGTCTCTATCTACAGTATTGTGTCTAGTGTTGCAGTACATTTATCATCTGACTCAATGCTTTGAAATCTCCTGCAAAGCCCAGTCAATACATGACTGGTATGGATTTGGCTTTGAATTTAAATTTGATAGCTCATGTAACTTTCAGGAAGTACCTAAAAGATAATAGTGTTTGGCTTTTGCTGATTCCTCCATGACTTGCTTGGAAGCATAAGGAAAAGTGCCTAGTAAAATTGTGTAGGACCATCTGGCCACAAATAAATGTATTTGTGGAGACTTTTGTATGTTTCTGAGCCTGGTGATTTCTTTT